TTAGGGGGTTTTGGCGATGGGAGAGAGAAGTTTCCATAGTGGGAGAGGACAGGGAATGAGACAGGGGTGAGGAAGCTGAAGGCAGGAGGGACTCCAGACCTTGGGCAGTAAAAGGGATGAGCTATAGAATGAAGGGGTAGCAGGATCACATTAAGGGTTTGCAGGAAGGGGGAACCCCTCATGCATAACTGTAGGCAGAGAGAAAGGAAGCAATGGAACGGGAGAGATTGAAGGATTTCCAGAATCAAAGGACATTACCAATGAATGGAACAGACTTCCAGAAGAGACTAACGTGATGAGATGGGGGGGGGGGGCAAGGTGGGAATGAGGGTGCTGGAGCCAGTAAGAGCCCACTGTTAAATTTTCAGTGTGAGCATTTATACCACCAAAATTATAAAGGTTCTAGATCAGGACTTTATTGTTTGTCTAGACTCAGCAGGGGTGCAGAACCTGTGGCCTCAAGGCCACATGTGGCCCTCTAGGTTCTCAAGTGTGGCCCTTTGACTGAATGCAAACTTCACAAAACAAATCTCCTTAATGAAGGATTTGTTCTGTAAAACTTGGACTCAGTCAAAAGGCTGCACCCAAGGACTTAGAAGGCCTTGAGGCCTCAGGTTCCCCACCCCTGGTAGACACTTAAGAAAGTGCTAGCAAAATGTTAATCTGGAGAGCCAGTTTTACCAGCATTTACCAGCACACTCCTGGTTGGGGTTCGGGGGGGAAGAGGGCAGTGACACATAAGGTTTTGTCTAGAAGAGGTCCACTTCATCTTCTAAGACGGAGGGAAGAAAAATCTAATGAAGAAAGCAGAGAGGAAAGAAAAAGAAAAGAAAGCATGACACAGTGGATAAGGCCTGGATGCTTGTACTGCTCTATAATCCTGGACAAGCCACTCATCTCCCTGGGTCCCAGGCATCTCTCTAAGGCTAAAAATGGCCGAAGTAATGATCCACATTGATGGACAAAGTCTCACATGGAGTGTTCCCTACACTTCCCTATACAGTAAGAAGTCCAGTCCCAAAAAAGACTCAAAGAGGTTTTGAAGGAAAGAGGGATGAGAGAGAATTAAAGAAAGAGTGTTCCCAGGCACCACCTCTCAGCCTGTGCTATTGCCCCCTGCCACCTTGTCTCCACACAGTTATCAGTGATATTCCAAAAGCACATGTGTTACTCCTCAGCTCAGGAAGCTCCTGGGGCTCCCTATTGTGCTATAAGATAAAATACAAACCCCCCTGTTTGGCATTTGAAGCAAAGCCTTTCACAACCTACCTCTGGCCTTATGGTACGTGACTCTTCTTCATGCAAATAATCCACAGGTATTTATAGAGCCCTACCTATGTGCCAGGCACTGGAGATAAAAGACAAGATCAAAACAATCCCTTCCCTGTAGGAGTTTGTGTTCTACAGAGGGAGAAAAATGTGTGCCTGTTTAGGTCCAAGGTGATGGGAGGAGGGAGCTGGGAAAGGAAGTATCTAGAAAGGCTCACAGAAAAGACAGGACTTGAGGCAAGTCTTAAACACACCCTGTGTTGCAGCCAGACCGGCCATTTGTGTTCCCCATATGTGACTTTCTATCTTTCATCTCTGCTTTGGCACAGGTGATCACCCATGCCTGGAACACACTCTTTCTTCACCTGCACTTAGAACCCCCAACTTCCTTTATGGTTCAGTTTAAGTCCCACCAGGCCTTGAGGCCCCAGGTTTCCCCACCAATGATCAATTGTCAGGGAAGCTCTGGAGATTCCCATTCTGTGACCCATAGAAGTCCCTTCTATAATTCGTTGAGAAGGGAAGACTCAGGGAAAGGATTGGAAGGTAGGGAAAGGTGAAGCTGGAAAATAACAACCCCTGCCTCCCCCCACCACCACCCTAAGGGAGGCTGTAGGGCCTCTATCAAAGCATGCATTTCTGACCAGGCTAGAGGTAGGAGGGCAGTGAACCCAACAGGGTGAGGCCTAGGGAGAGTTGGTGAGCAGCCAGTCCTAGCTGATAAAGGAACTGATTAGATCCCACCCTGAAAGGAGAACTCACCTTGGTCAGGAAAGGGCAGCTGGTTATTAAAGAAAAACAAAACACAGACTTTTACTAAGGGCCACAAGACTCACTGGACTACGGACTAATGATTTCGCTTCTCTGGGTCCCAGGTTTCCCACCTAAAAAGAGTGAATTGGCTCTCTGGGCTACCATATTGCATTCCTGACCTAGAGAATACAATCCACCAAGGCACCCAAGTCTTTTTTTTTCTTTTCTTTCTTTTTTTTTTTTTCAGAACTGAAGTACCAGATGCTTCCTCATCTTGGACTTACTTGAAGTGGATTTTTTCAACCCAAGTGTAGGATTTTACATTTATCCCTTCCAAAGAGTTGTCTTCCTCATTCACAAGCTTGTGATTTGAATTAAGCCAAGAGGCAATATGGTCTCATGGAAAGGGTATTAAGTGTTCATAGAAAGGGACACTGGCCTCCTTGCTGTTCCTGGAACAAAACACTGCCATCTTCCATCTTTCTGATTTTGCCCTGACTCTCCCCCAGGCCTAGAAAGCTCTCCCTCCTCATCTCCACCTCTCGGTTCGCTGGCTTCCTTCAAGTCCCAGCTAAAATCCAACCTTCTACAGGAAGCCTTTCCTGATCCCCCTTAATGCTCGTGCCCTTCCCTCTGTGGATTATCTCTATGTCTTGTTTGTAGGTAGTTGTTGGCACGTCTCCCCCATTAAACTGAGCTCTTTGAGAGCAGGGACTGTCTTTTGCCTTTCTTGGCATCCCCAGTATGTAACACAGGACCTGGCACAGAGTAGGCTCTTAATAAATGCTTATTGACTAATTGAAAGAAGACTAGTTTCAAATCCCTCCCAGCCTTCCTGCTAATTATCTGTGTGTCCTTGAGCAAATCACTTATTATTCCCTGGGACCCCCATTTTCTCAAATATAAAAATATGAAAAAATAGTGATCTCCAAGGTTTCTTAGAGCTCTAAATCCAAGTTTCTGATACTCTTGAAATTTTGGTAGGAAGAGCACTGGATTTGGAGTTAAGGGATATGGATTCAGCTTTTGATTCTTCTACTTATCTCCGGAGTGATATTGGACAAATTCACTTAATTTTTCTGGGGATCAGTTTTCTCACCTGCAAAAATTAGGAGATTGTATTAAATGATCTCCAATTCAGTTTGGTAAAATTTATTAAACATCTACTGTGTGCCAGCACTGTGCTAGGTGCTGAGGGTACAGTGACAAAAACAAAGCGGGCCATGAAAAACTGAAAAACTGGAAAAAAGGAGGTAGGAGAGGAAGGAAGCCGTAGCAGAAGGGAGGGCAGGCGGCCCTCACAGAGGAATGTTCCAGGGTGAACAGGCTGCAGGGGGTTGATCCAGGGCAAGGGGGCCAGGCATTGAGCAAAGTTCCAATATATGCCATCAGTGAAGAAGGCCGGGAACAGGGCTAGGAGGAGTCAGAAGGAAGGAGAATTATCTGAGAGTCTATAGATAATTGCTACCAGGAACTGAATAAGATAATGTATCTGGGCAAAATGAACCTTAAAGAAGTTGCCGAGTGATAGGAAGAAAGAGGGCCTGGAAGTAGCAGCGAAGAGCAAGGAACATGTCTACCTCTGCTCCTGACCCAGAATATCCAGGGGCAAGAGATAAGGTGCATATTCAGCACTGGAGAAGGTAGCCAGAAATGTCTTCTGGAGGAAGCCTGAGAGGAAGAGGTCTAATCTGAAAGATAGTTTGCTAATAAAACAGAGATTCCAGAGAGCATAGTGGAAGGGGAAGGGTAGAATGAAATATGGAATGGGAAAGGTAGGTCTGACATGGGCGAGTTTGAGATAACAAGGGAGGGAAGCATCTGCCTAGGCAGCCTTAAGATCAGAATTACCCGGGCATCTGAGAGGAAGAAAAAGAGACAATTTGCAAGCCATAAAACTGTAGATTATTATACCCTTCTCAGTAGCAATTGGGGCTGATCCCCTGACCTCAAAATTAAGCTCATTTGATTATCATTCTGTGGATAAAAGGTTGAAGATGTCCACCTCCTGATCTGGACTTGGTGGTAAGCAGGGGCCCTGAGTCTTGCTGGCTCTAGAGTGCTGAGTTAAAGGCAGCTGGACGTAGTGGCCTGATTGCAACGGACAGAACCTGCAGAGGTCCATGTCTGGGCCACTGAAGTTCTGAAAGCCATCATCCCCTTCACTCTCCTCTTTTCCCTTACCCTTCTCGTTTGTCGCCTTCCTCCCCTCCTAGTTCCTCCCAGCTTGAAGAAAGTGCCTGAAGAACTTGGACTGGGTTTCCCTGGGATGGTCCCGAGCCTTCATGTCCTCATGTGTGCTCCTTTGTCTCTCTCTTGTGACCCCAGGTGTTGGACATGGAGGAGATGATCATCTGGGAGCAGCACACCACCACACTGAGCAGGGTGAGTGAAAGTGGATGGCCACCAGACCCCTCCTGGGCTCTCTAGGGTGCTTGGGCCCTGCCCATAGGGAACACCTAGCCTGACTTGAAGTCTCAGGCCTTGGGTTTTGCTCAGTTTATAACCCAGTGAGAAACACAGATAGCACCATGAGGGCTCAGAAGAATGGACTGTCACAGAGGAACCAGAGCTTGAGCCTAACCTTGAAGGACACAGGTTTTTCTGAGGAAAATGGAGGTAAATCAGAAAAGCCACTGGCCTTGGAATTAGGAAACTTGGACTTTAGCCCTGGTTCTACACTAATTCTGCTACCCTGGGCAAGTTGCTTCCCTTCCATGGGCCTTGGTTACCCTGTCTATAAAGTAAGGGGGCCCCTACCTAAGGTTCCTTTCAGCTCTCACATCCTATGATTCTTATGAAGCTCCTCCTTGTGTCTTCCAGGATCCTCGGAGGGGCTTTGGGATTGCCATTTCAGGAGGCCGTGACCGATCAAGTGGTGCCAGGAATAATGGATCCGTGGTGGTATCAGATGTGGTACCAGGAGGACCAGCTATGGGCAGACTGCAGTGAGTACCTGGGTGGGGGATAATCTAGTCTGTTGCCAGTGGGAGGAGAGAATGTGATATTAGTTCAGGGAAAAGAGACTTTGAGCAGGATTCAGGAATTCTGGGTTCTAGGGTTGTCTCTGACATTGTCACCTTGTACAGGATACTTCCTCTCTCTAGGCATCTGTTCCCTCATCTGTAAAATAAGAGAATTAGACTAGATTTTTCCCTAAGAGCCCTTAAGGTTCCTATATTCCATGTTCTATGTTTCTAAGCTCCCTCTCAGCTCTGACATACTCCATTCTAAGGTCCTTCCAACTATGACATTCTCTGCTCTAAGGTCTCATCTAGGTCTGATTATTCTGTGTTCTCATGGCTCTTCCAGCTCCAACAGTCTCCATTCTAAGGTCTCTCAGTTCTGACATTCATTTATTCTGTGTTCTAAGGTACCTCCTAACTCCAGTATTCTAGGTTCTAAGGGAGGGGTGGGGCCCAGCTTAACCTTCTATGTATTATAGCCCCTCTCAAATCCAACAATCTACATTCCAAAGCTCCTAGCTCCAATATTCTGTGTCCTAAGGCCCCTCCCAGCTCCATTACATGGCATTTTTCCAGTTCAGTGAACACTTCCTCAAGGATTTTCAAACAAGAGAAGAGAAGGGTCTGGAGGTGCATTTGAAGCAGGAGTCCCTGAAACGCTTTTCTTTAGCAGCAAGGTCTTCTCTCAATCACAGTCAACCTAGGACTGTCCTAGGGGAATGCGTAGGCTCAGGCTCACCTCTCTTCTTTCCACTTCTATCACATCTACCAGGAGGGCCTCTGGGAGAAACTGGGGTATCAGTTGACATCACTCACTGTAACTGAGGTCATCAAAGCAGCCGGCTCATAGTGGTGACATGGGCCTGGTCCTGCTCTGCCAAGCTGGCCCAGAACTGGTAAACAAGCCCTTGGGAGAGGAAATGAGTGAGCGCATGAGAAAAGATGGAACTAAAAAAGGAAGACAGGGAGAAGAAAGGAAGGGGGAGAAAAACAGGGAGAGAGAAGAAAAGGGCCCAGAGAGGGAGGGGAAGGAGAGGGGCACAGAAAAGGAGGGAGGGAGGGAGGGAGGGAGAGAGAGAGAGAGAGAGAGAGAGAGAAGAGAGAGAGAGAGAGGGAGGGAGGGAGAGGGAGAGACAGAGAGACAGAGATGGGGGGAGAGAGAGAAGGAGGAAGAAAAAGGGAACAGAAGAGAGGTGAGAAGGGTTGAATGAAAGAACAACTAAAAGAGAAAAAGAGGTTGAAGGAAAAAGAAAGATTGGGGATGAAGAACTAAGGCAGAAATGGAAGGAGAGAAAGTTTGATTGAAATGCACTGTGAGAAAAAGGTCTCTTCTCTGTTGCCCCTGGAACCTTCATCCACAAAACTCCCTAACCAGGATCTTGAAAGAAATAGCAATTATCTTGCCAGTGGCTGCCTCTCAGACCTGTGTCTCCTTCTGCCAGGACTGGAGACCATATTGTCATGGTGAATGGGGTTTCCATGGAGAATGTATCTTCGACCTTTGCCATACAGACCCTCAAGGCTTGCACCAAATTTGCCAATATTGTGAGTTGGCCCCAGTCCTAGGCGGGAGGACATTAGGGACAGGGATGGTGGGTAGACAGGCAAGGTACAGTATCAGAGCTCTAAGCTTCCCATCTGAGATTATTCTGGGCTACAGGGTCCATCCCTAAACAGTCAAGTTATGGCTTGTGACTGAATTATCCAGTAGTCAGAGGTCCGTGCTTAAGGGGCAAGAATTATGGGATTATAGGTTTGAGATCCGGGTGAGCCATGAGTTTCTATCTACTTTTCCCTCTCCCTCATGCACCTAAACCAGACTGTAAAAAGACCTCGAAAAATTCAGCTGCCTACCACCAAGACCAGCTATCCCACTTCAAGCCTAGGCCCCAATCCACAGAACCAGGGGCCACCACGGGGCCACCAGGACCAGGAGGAATTGGACCATAATCGGGGCTATGACGGAGACTCATCCAGTGAGCGCAGCTCAGGCCACAGCTGGACTGAGCGTTCCCGGAGACGGAGTCGAGCTGGCAGCCGCAGAGGTCACAGTCGGGAGAGCAGGTTGGATCAGCCAGACAGATCCAATGGACTGGCCCTGGTGTCTGGCTTCAAGAGACTACCCAGACATGATGTGTTGATGAAGCCAGTGGAGTCAGTGTTGGTGAAAAAGAAAGAGAGCGAGGGTGAGGAAGGTTCTGGACTTATGGGTGGCTCTGAAAGTGGCCTAAAGGGCTGCTGTGGTGGTATCTGACATCAGTCCCCTCTGGGGACGTAAGAATAGGCACTAGAATGTCAGTGGCCACATCATGACCTTGGTATAAGTGCTGTAATGATCAGTGCCCAGCTGCCCACCCTCAAGCCAAAGAGCCCTGGCCTGAGAGTTAAAAAAACCTAGATTTGAATCCTGGCTCTGCCAATTAATTGTGACCTGGGGCAATAATAAGATTAGCTCCAATTTATATAGCAATTTAAGGTTTGCAAAGCACTTTATACAGGATTTCTCATTTGATCCCCACAACAGCCTTGTGAGATGAGTGCCGTTATTCCCACTTTTATAGATGAGGAAACTGAGGCTGGTATGTCCAAGATCACACTGCTAGTGTCTGCAAGTCATTTGTCCTCTAACCTTCAGTTTCCTTCTCTGTAAAATGGGTCTAGCCTACTGCTCTTGGTTATTTTGAGGAAATATCTGTATAAGCCTTAAAGCAATGGAGAAGGGTGAGTTGTTATCGCTCTAGATGCCAGGGGAGTGTCCATATGATAGGCATGCAGTGTCCTGTTGGGTCATTCTCCCTAAGGCTGGGAAGAGAATTGTGTTCACCATAGTTACATTTTATCTTGATGAGACCAGGTTGGGGCCCCAGGACGCAGCTGCGTGCCTTCCCCTAGGTCTTTGGCTGGAAAGAAAACATCTTTCCCTGCCCCTCTTACTCAGTACTACCCAGGCTCCCATGTCAAACTGGTCTGGCTATGTCAGGGCATGGCTCACAAAAGTGGGTGAGGGGGTGGTTCAGAGAGTTTGCCCTCAGCCTATCCTGTAAGAAAGGGGTTTGAGATTGAGCTGGAACCCTCATCAAACCAAAGACAGAGTAACAAGGAGAGTAGAAAGAATACTAGGTTTAAGAATCAGAAGACTGGCAGCTGTTATCAGCGACTCACATTTGGACCTTGGGCAAGTCACTGGGGTACCTCCCTAGTCATCAGTAAAACAATAAGGACTTGGATAATCTCTACAGTACCTTCCAGCTCTACATCTTCTGCTCTATATAAAGGAGTTGGATTAGAGCTGCAAGGGACCAAAAGGTCATCTGGGCCAATCCCCTCCTTTTGAAGAAAGAAAGTGAGGCACGGGGATGGGAAATAGCTTGCCCAAGTCATCCAGGGAGTGAATATCAAAGGTAGAATTGGAACCCAGGCCTTGTGTCTCCTTCTACCATTGCACAGTGATTACCTTGGAGGTCTTTTCCACCTCTCCTATGAGTGGTCCCAACCCTTCAGAAACATCCTGATATCAGCTTACGCACAGTTAGCACCACCAAGCCTCTGCCTCTGACAGAAGGCCCTTAGGAAGCAGTTTTGGAACATTGGCCATCCTCCATCTACTCAAAGGGCAGGACCAGACCTCTTCAACCTTTTGAGTGAACATTAAAGCCCTGTCTGGAGCTCTCTCTGACCCTTCAGGTACCTGGTGTGGGACTTCAGACTAGAGGAAGCCCACATTCTGGGACCCAAACTCCCAGACACATCTGAGGATATGAATCTTCCCTACCTCCACTACCATTCAGAAGCTGGGAGGCCTCAATCCTTCTCAGCTTCCTAAAGATTGTCTTGGGGAGTCTTTCCCATAGGGTCACCCTGCTCCCTACCTCTCACCACCCCCTGGGTTCTGCCTCACTTTGTTCCTTCCTTCTCTGAGGCCTCTACAGAATTTGGCGTGAAGCTTGGCAGTCAGATTTTCATCAAGCACATTACAGACTCAAGCCTCGCCTCCAAGAACAGGGGGCTGAAGGAGGGTGATCTCGTCCTTAAGGTGAGCTCAAGAAGGGGTGAATTGGAACTTCCTGGGTGGGAACCGGTGGGGGGGAGGGATTGTGCCCTCTTCACCCACCTCTACCCTCCCCCGGCCAGTGGGAGTCGTGATGTGGGGGCTGCCCAGTCAGCACCATTTGTGCCCCACCCCTCCACCCCCACTCCACTGCCCATGGGTCTGTACCCAGTGGCTAGAACTCCTTGTCTGGTCTTGTGTTTTAAAGTCCTCCTAGGAGATTGTCTCTTCTAATATCATCCATATATGAACATTTTCAAAGCCTTAGCCTTGTCCCTCTCCCCAAACCCCCCCCCCACCCAAACTGGTGGGACCTTTCAGATAAATGGAGTGTCAAGCCAGAACCTGTCCCTGAACGACACCCGAGACTTGATTGAGAGGTCAGAGGGGACTCTGACCCTACTGGTACTCAGGGATCATCGGCAGTTCCTCGTAAACATCCCCCCAGCAGTCAACAGCGACAGTGAGAGTTCTGGCCTGGATGGTAATGAGGGGGTCAACAGAGGGAGTGGGGAGTTCCCCAAATACACCTTCACCCCCAGTCAGCCTTCCCTGCTCTTCAGCATCTCTCCATTTGACTTCCCAGACACCACACACTCCAGGTTCTCCTACCTTTCTAACTTTTCTTTTCTGTCTTCAATGGTTCTCACTGCTCCCCAGCCTCGTAAGGTTGTGTGTCTCAAAGATCTGTTCTCTTTCCTCCTCTCACTCTGCTTTCTCCTTTAGCAATCTCGATCATTCCAGAGCTTTCACCTGCTAGCTATCTAATAGACCTGTGATTTCATTGCATGGGAAACTCCTAATAATGCAAACAGGCATTTTTTCTGTAATTTATACTCTCTGGAAGTTATCTAGAGCACTCCCAGGGGTGGGGAACCTACGGCCTTGAGGCCACATCTGGCCTTCTACATCCTCAGGTGTGGCCTTTTGACTGAGTCCAAGTTTTATAGAACAAATCCTTCATTAAGGTGATTTGTTCTGTAAAGTTTGGATTCAAAGGGCTGCACTTGAGGACCTGAGGACCTAGAAGGCCACACGTGGCCTCGAGGCCAAAGATTCCTCCCACCCCCCACCCCAACTCAGATCGTGAATAACTCCAAATCCAGTCCTCTTTCCTGTTAATTATATGATATTAGTTGGACATGCTGGTGGAGATGTTCTATAGACAGAAATGTGGGCTTGTAGCTAGGAAGAGAGGTCAGGGATGAAGAGTTACGATTTGGGTATATTTTTTCCCAAAGACAGTGGGGCCTAATGGCTAAAGAGCTAGCCTCAAAGCCAGGAAGACCTGGGTTCAAGTCCTATCCCTTACATCTACTACTTTTAGGACCCTGGGCTAGTCACTGAATCTCTAATAGGCTCAGTGTGTGTCCCCAGTACTTAGCACAGTGCCTGGCATGTTGCAGGCACTTAATAACACTTTACTGTCTCACTGACTGACTCAACTGTAAAATGGGGATCATAGCACCTACCTCCCAAGATTATTCTGAGGACCAAAGAGATAATATTTGTCAAGCACTTAGCGCATTGGTAATGCTTGTTACCTTCCCTGATTTCCTTCTCCCCTCTGCATAATAACACTCCTTCACTCACTGCCAGACTAATCCTCCTTCTGCATAAATTTTCATGTTGTCACTTTTTTTCTCCCTCAGAATCCTTTAACAGCTTCCTGGTTGCTTCCCAAGTAAAGTTCAGATTCCCCTGCCTGGCTTCCAGGGGCCCCCACCATCTGGCACTCCTCTACTCTTCCAGCCTTATCTTACACTGTTATCAGCATTCTAGCTAACCTGGGCTACTCTGCATAGGTGCTTGTGTCCTGTGCACTTTTTCTGCCTTTGCTAATGGGATACCTGATTCTTGGAGGCAGCCTTGTGGCCCCCTGTCCAACCCCAACCTGTTGAAAGCCTGATTCAAGTACAGGAAGCGTTCTGTGCTGTCCACAGCTGGTAATGATCTTCCTTGTGAGACCTCACATAGACAACACTGGCTTTGCCCTCCTGATCTGTGTGATGTGATACAATGTTCTGTGTTTGTCTTTTATCCCTCTGCAAGACAGCAGACAGAAAGGGAAGGACTAAGATTTGGGTAAACTTTGTATCTTTTCTCTAGCACTGAGCACCATAGTGCTTTGTGCACTTAGGTACCTTAAAAGTGTTTGAATTCTATCAAATCAAATTCAGTTACAAATCTGTTGAGAAAATGGCTTCTTTGGGGGCTCTCTATCCTCTTGCGTATGGTAGCATTGATTCCCTTCTGTAGCTGTCTTTTTGGAAGGCTGGGGAAACCAGACAAGGAATGATTGCTTGTGATGACGACCTTTTGCTGTTATAGACATCTCTGACATTGGCTCTGAGCTCTCCCAGGCACCCCCATCCCACGTGCCCCCACCACCTCGTGGCAAGCGGCGGGTTTCTGATGCCAGCTGGACAGAGTCTCCTCCGTAAGTGCCAGCACCACACCCTCTTATCTGTTTCTAATGTCTTGGAGTTTGTCTGCCCCTGGCATCCTCAAGTTAGTCAACAGTTGGGGGTGGGGTAATCTGTTTCAGTAACGCCTGTCAACGATTGGTCTCCAAGGAAACATTAGCCCGGTTCCTCTGCACCTGTTACCAGGTGATAGAGATTCTTTGAAGTGTGGAAGGGAGTTCACAGAACGCCACCATCCCCACTCGCCAGATATGAGACCCAAAGAGATTAGAAAGAAGCCTGGTTCTGAGGTTTCGGTGACAAGGTGGAGACTTTAAACGCCTAGAGATTTGAATGTTAGCATTTAGTTTGAGAAAGTGGTCAATTTATGATGAGACAGTTTGAAGTTGAGCTGAGTGGTGTAAGTTAGAGAAAGTGTGTAAGGGGAAAGGCTCTGGTGGAGTTTGCTGGACAATTTGAGACAAGACAATGTTTCAGGATTTCTGGTGTATTCCTCCAAACCACAGCTGTGTTCAGAGCAGGTGAATTAAGTTTTGAGTTGTGGTTGTGGGGAGAGAGCAGGTGCTAGGATAAGAAAGGGGCAGGGATCCCTAACCTGTGCAGCTGGTCAGACAGGTTGTGCCCTGGGCCCTTGGACCCTCCCTGGGTCCCCATGGAGGGATATCAATATTTAGGGAGCTATGATAACAAGGTCTGGCAGATATTAGAACCACAGTGCAAGAATCTGTATGTGAAGGCATCTGTCTTACCTGGGGTCCTTCATCCTCATGAACAGAGGTAACACTGCTTAGAAACTCTGGGCCCTAGCGGGGCAGCTAGCTGGTGAAGTGGATAGAGCACCGGCCCTGAAGTCAGGAGAACCTGAGTTCAACGCTGGCCTCAGACCAAATGCTTGATACTTACTAGCTGTGTGACCCTGGCCTAGTCACTTAACCCCAATTGCCTAAAAATTTAAAAAAAAACCTGGGCCCTCTAGCAAGGTAGGACAAATTCTTGTGTCCTGCCCCCCAGGTTCTAAAGAACCTTTGGTTGACTATACCATCAGCCCCAATGCAAGGACCCAGAACAGGCAGAAAGCTATATGGAAAACCTTTCAGAAGCTTGGGGTACAATGATTTCCAGGAGGAAAGGGATATTAGGAAGGCAGTAAGGGGATAATTATTCCGTTATCAATCAAAATGATCTGTTCAGAGATCATCTCTCTGGGTCACTGCTGACCTCAATTTGTTTCCTCCTCCCAACCCTTTCCTCCTCACACACCTAGGGTATTATGGAAGCTGACCCTGAACCAGCTTAACTCTAATCCTTTGTTTGCCCCAGGGAGGAGTCAGTGGAACCAGGATCCCCTCGGATATCAGGTGAGTGAGAGGGCAGCTATGTGGTATTTATAGAGTTTGCCCATTGGACCTCAACCTGGCTCTATCCTGGCGTGTTTGAAGTGTCTGGGCCCTAGTGGTCCTAGTCTGAGTAAAGAGGGAGCAATAGCTGTCTGGACATTCAGCCCAATGGCCTGGGTTCAAGGGCAAAGGCCCAGACCATCTAGTTTGGTTTTGAAGTTGGCCGGGGGCACTGTGTAGCCCAGACCTTAAAAACTATGAAGAGCTCAAAAGAAAAAACATAAAGCCCTAGCAATGGCATTGCTCAGAACATGAAGTAGTGTGGGGCCTGAGCCAGGCCTAGGGGAATAGAGAGGACTAGGATGGGGGAAAAGAAGGGAGAAACATGGCATTCTGTGAAAGAAAGGGGAAATGGGTGACTGGAAGCAGAATGGAGTGGAGGGACTGGTTCTTCCTGTAGGTACCCAGGAGGCCATGAGAAAAAGCAGCTATGACATCTATCGGGTCTCCGATGGCCAAAGAGAAGATTATGGGTAAGTGTCTAGGTCTAGGGTCCCTGCTGTGTTACCACCCCCCCCTCACACACACACACACACACACACACACACACACACACACACACACACACACACGTATTCACAGTCCTATATTACTGTTATTACCCAGCAGAAAAGGACTCTGGGTCACCTATTCTTGGAGGCCAAAGAATCCTTGTGTGAGTAGTCAAGGCCCTTAGAGATCTCCCAGTCCAAACCCCTCATTTTACAAATGGGGGAACAGGCTTAGCAGGGAGAACACAGGTTGTGAAAAGTACCATCTATTTCTAACATTCCATCCCCCCCCGTCCAAGCCAAAGGGCCCTGTAGCATGTGAGAGTCAAAAAGAGTCAAGAAGATATTGTCTAGACTCAGCCTCTCAATTTTCAGATGAGGAAACTGTCTCACTTTCACTTTGTGTGAAAGGACTTACCTAGGGTCACTTATAGAGTCAGTGTTGGAGTCAGAACTAGAACCCCAGTCTCTTGACTCCTAGTCCAAGCCTCTTCTGAGTGCCTGGTGAGCCTTCATCTCAAAATCTCACCTTCGCACCCTCACCCCGGACTTGGTACCAGGTATAGCCCAGATACTCAGGTGGTCCGCTTCACCAAGGGTGCCAGCATCGGGGTCCGTCTAGCTGGGGGCAATGATGTCGGCATCTTCATAGCAAGCGTACAAGAAGGGAGTCCAGCGGATGCACAAGGAATTCGGGAAGGAGACCAGATCCTACAGGTAATTGGGTTAGCTTGGGGCCAAGGGAGGATGGGGCAATGGGAAACTAGAAGAAATCTCTGTCTGTGGAAAAGGTCTTGTCCTTTGAGAACTTGATGAGGGCCTGGTAGAAGTTCCATGCTGGACCAGACCAGAGGATGGTGCAAGATTACTGAGCATTTGTGGCTGTCAGTTCAGTTATTTTGGTTTGGGGGATATGTGATGCCCCATCCCCATTTTTCTCTAGAGAACCATACAGAAATTAGAATTTCTCACTTGAAAGGCCCCTTAGGGGCCATCTATTACAACCCATCCCTGAACAAGAATCTACTCTACAACATACCCATCGTGACTTTGTTTGAAGGCTTCCAATGAGCAGGGAACCCATTCCCTGCTAGAACCAGCTGGAGGCAGAGGTCATTCACTCCACTTTGAGATTGTTCTGAGCATTAGGAAGTCATTTTCAACACTGCCTATATTTGTCTCTAATTTCTACCCAGTGCTAATAGTTCCACCTTTCAGGGCAAGCAGAAGAAAAAAATATCTAATCCTTCTTCCATGTGATAGCCCATCCAACACTTTTTTTCTTTTTGGTTAGGCAATGGGTTAAGTGACTTGCCCAGGGTCACACAGCTAGTAAGTGTTATGTGTCTGAGGCTGGATTTGAACTCAGGTCCTCCTGAATCCAGGGCCAGTGCTCTATCCACTGCGACACCTAGCTGCCCCGCACCCAACACTTTTAAGAAAACCATCATGTCCCCTCCTTACCCCAACTCCCAGTCTTTTCTAGGCTTAACAAATTCCCAGTCTCTTCAATTGATTCTCACATGGCATGAAGTAGATGCCTCTCATCATTCTGTTTGCCACCCCCGAATACTCTCCAGTTTATCCATTTCCTTCCTGTGGTGTGTGCCCCAAACTGAACACAACATTCCAGGCACTCCTGCAGGGTACACATTGGTATTGCCCGAGACATTATGCCTTTGTTAAAGTAGCTTTTTTGGACTCCCATTGCACACCATTAACTCTCATTGAGCTTGCAGTCCACTAAGACCCCCAGATTTTTTTCAAATGAATTGCTGTCTAGCCATGCCTTCCCCCATCTGGTAATTGTGACATTGTTTTTGTTTTTGTTTTTAACCCACATGCAAAGAAAAACTCTTTACTTTTGTTCTTTATGCATTTCATTTTTATAAGATTTGGCCTGTCAAGATGTTTTAGGGGCCCTGACTCTATCATCTAAAATGTTAATTAACCTACCTAGTTTTGCATGATCTGCAAATTTGATCAATTTTGCCATCCTTCAAGCAAGTCATTGATAAAAACGTTAAATAGCAGAGGGCGAAAGTACACATCTATGGATCTCCTGAAACCCTGCTTCCAAATTGACATGAAACCTTCAAGGCCTACTCTTTGGGTCTTTTCACTCAGCTGGTTTCTAATCCAACTTTATTGTTATTCAGTCCACAGATCTCCATCTTTTCTTCAATAGGATGAGAGATTTTTTTCAAATGCTTTACCAAAAATCTAAACTTCTTAGCATTCTCCTGGTTAACTGGTCTAGTAACCTACCTAAAATCTTATCTTCTACAGGAAGTGTTTCCCAACCCCTAACCCCTCCTTAATTCTAGTACATTCTCTCTCTCTCTCTCTTTCTTCTCTCTCTCTCTCTTCTCTCTTTCTTTTCTCTCTCTTTCTCTCTCTCATTTCCTGTTTATCCTGTGTATAGCTCATTTGCATATATTAGTTTACTTGTTTCCTCCCCCGTTAGATTGTAAGCTTCTTGTGGGTAGGGACTGTCTTTTGCCTTTTTCAATATACTTAGCACAGTACTTGACATATATTAGATGCTTAACAAATATTTATTGATTGGCTAGTGGTCTGGCACAACTTGGTGCTGTTGAGGCCATGGCTGGCTTTTTGTCATTGTCACATGAATACTCAGTGTTCATGAACCAGCCTTTCAGAGGTAGCAAAGTGGCCTGGTGGCTAGAGTCAAGAAGCCCTGAGTTCAAATGTGGCCTCAGACAATTACTAGCTGTGTGGCTGTGGGCAAGTCACTGAACTTTTGTTTGCCTCAGTTTACTCATCTGTAAAATGGGGATAATAATAGCACCTACCTCCTAGGGTTATTGTGAAGATCAAGTGAGATAATGTGTTAAATGCTTAGCACAGTGCCTGAGACTTATTAGGCGCTTAACAAATGCTTATTTCCTTCCTTTAACATTCAACAGTTTAGCCAGGAGAATGAAGTCAAGCTCACTGGCCTCCAGCCGGTCAATTCTTCATGTCATTTGCCCTTCTCTGGTCCTGGGCTACCTCTCCCATTCTCCAGTCTCTCAAGGGCTCTGACAGTGACTCAGAAATCACATCCGGTGGGTCTTTTGGTGCCTTCAGATGTGGTTCACTTGGACCTGGTCACTTGCACACATCCAGGGCAGCTCAGTATTCTCCTATCATCTTTCCATCTCCCTGGGGCATCCAGAGGAGTGATCCTGTGTTTCTTTGACCCTCTTCTCTTTTTCTAATACAGATGAAAAAGGTTATGGGCCACGCTCTGGGATGTCCTTTAAGACTTACCAGTCATATCATTCTCTTTTCTCCCTCCCTCCCAAGGCCTGCCATTTCCAGGAATAATACTAACATTAATAATAATAATAATAATAATCAACCACAACAACTACTAGCCTTTATATAGTACTTTATGGTTTGTAAAACACTTTGCACACATCATCTCATTTAATTCTCACAAAACCTGGGAGGTAGGGGCTATTATGATTCTACATTAGAGGAGGAAACTGAGGCTGAGGGACTAAGTGACTTTGCCCAGGGTCTGAGGTAGGATTTGAACTTGGGTCTTCTCGACTCCAAGTCCAACATTCCATGTCTCCATTTGGCACCTACTTGCCAAGCTCTACCCTGACCTTGCCTGAAGGTGGAGATTGCCCCATTGTCAGCCGGCCCTGGAGTTGTCATGGCTCTATCCTCCTTCCCCTTTCTCCCCGCCCTGTTCCCACCCATAGGTGAATGACCAGCCATTCCAGGGCCTGACTAGGGAGGAAGCTTTCCAGTACTTGGTGGAGCTGCCCCGAGGAGAGGAATTGGAGATGCTTACTCAGAGCAAGCAAGATAGTAAGTGTGTTTGGGGTGGTGGGCCATCCTGGCTGTGGGAAGCCTGAAGACATCTGACCAGAAGGAGAGGCAAAGGGCAGGGAACCCTTATGGGGTGTTCTAAGCCTAAGAGCAGACCAAGAGACCATGTGCCATGGCCATCTCACCCTTAGACTTCCCCCATGATCAACTCAAGAAGTGGAAGCATGGAGTTTGGCACTGTTCCTACCATCATGGGAGGCCAGAAGCTCTGGACTCAGCCCCCATGAATCCCCAAGAATAGGACCCTGGCTCCCCCAGGCCTCTCCTGGTTCTCCCTCTTGACCCCGTAATGCATGAGGCAGTTCCTAGGAGAGAGGAGAAAGCTTGCGTGTCCACACCCACTCAAGTCTAGAGAAAAAGACCAGATGGGAAAGGGAAGCCAAAGCTCCAACATAGTTCGTGTCAGTACATAAGGAGATGCTGGGCCACTCCTTCTCTAGGTCACTTTACACATAGTTTCCCCTCCAGTGAGATAACACATGTAAAGTATTTACAAACCTTAAAGCACTCTATAAATGCTAGCCATCTAACCTATTTCCTTTGAACCTTAGTCTTTAGGAAGATGGTCAAGTCAGGCGTGGGTGACTCTTTCTATGTTCGCACCCACTTTGAGCTGGAGCCAAGTCCACCCAAGGGCCTGGGCTTCACCCGAGGGGACGTCTTCCACGTTTTGGACACACTGTACTCTGACAAGGGAAGGGGTGGCAGCTGGCTGGCGGTTCGTATGGGCCGAGACCTGACAGAGCAGGAACGGGGCATTATTCCCAACCAAAGCAGGTGAGGCCCTGTGTCAGTGTGTTAGACCAGTGGTCGGATGGGAACACCAAAAATTAGGAAAGGGAAAAAGCAAGGGGCCAAGCTAATAGTCACACGGGAGAGGTGAAGAGGCTGAGGATGAAGGAGAGAAGCATCTAAGCAGGGAGACTCTACCCTGTCCTTTTCCTATAAGCTCAGAGTGTTCATTTCCCCTGGGTTTGGGGGAGGAAGAGAACCTGCCTGCCTCCTGCTCCCATGTGGTACTCTCAGGGGCAGTGTTAGGAATAGGACCTAGTCGTGAGCAATGACTTAATAGAGGATCACAGCCTCAGCCTCTGGGGTTCATGAAGCCTCTGATGACCTGGCTAACCCTCTCTTTCTGTCTCACAGGGCTGAGCAGTTGGCATCACTAGAGGCTGCCCAGCGGGCTGTGGGCTCAGGGCCTTTCTCTTCCTCAGCTACCACAGGGGCCCGAGCTGAGTTCTGGAAGCTTCGAGGCCTGCGGAAGGGTATCAAGAAGTATATGCGCCAAAGCCGTGAGGACCTGTCTGCGCTGACAAAGCAGGGCAACTATCCACCCTATGAGCGGGTAGTGCTGAGGGAAGGTTAGTTGCAGAATGGACAAAAAAAAAAAAGGAAGGGGGAAGACTTGGGACAGTGGAGTCCAGAACATTTAATTATCTCTTGAGATCAAGTAGTAGAACACCTAAGTGACTTAAATATATGCTAAATAAATAGCAGCTGGGGAGTCTTGAATCAGAGTTAGGGGTAAGAGGAGGATGGAGAAAAAAAAGAGTGGTACTTACTGATTCCCTGCCTGTTCTGTCCCAGCCAGCTTCAAACGCCCTGTGGTTATCATGGGCCCTGTGGCTGATGTTGCCATGCAAAAGCTGTGTTCTGAGCTGCCTGACCAGTTTGAAGTTGCAGGTGAGGTAGCTGGGCCCCCGCTCTGATCCCACATACCACATGTGTTCTCCACCAACTGCTCTACCCTCAGCTGAAGGAACCCACAGAAGGATATGGAGGTTAGGATGGTTGGTAAGATGTTAGGATTGGAGGTAGGATTTGAAGGGTGGGAGAGGATTTAGGGAAGAGCCTGAGGTTTTCTTGTCACATGCTGGTGTCAGGAAGGAGCCTGATCCATCTGGAGAGTCAGGAGCGAGATTGAAATGAAGCTGGAGACAGGAACTAAAGGCAGATCACATATCTGAAGACCTGGGATTTAACCTTGAGCAATAGGGAGCCACTGAAGGTTTTGTCAAGGAGCTATAAGGTTAAGAAATCCTAATCATCATGTGTTTTCAGGAGTTTCCCAATTCCTGGGTTCTTAGAGCTCCAGGAGAGCTCTTCTAAGGGCTGATTCCATCTTGGCTGAAATAAGCAGATTGTACGCAGAGGTAGGGAGAACAAATGATTGCCCCCTTCCTGACTCTTGCTGAAAGAGCTACATTCATCCCTACAGAGAGCGTCACAAGGACCGAGGGCCCTTCAAAGGTTGTCAAGCTGGACACAGTGCGGGTGATTGCTGAGAAGGTGAGTCCAAGCCTAGAACTGAGGGATGAAGAGCAGAAAGGGAAAAAGAGAAGGGGATGGGCCTTAGGACACAGGGTATAGAATATCAATTGTGAAGGACATTAGAGCATAGAATGTTGGCACCAGGATGGATCTGTGGACAGAACAGACTTCAGAAGGTACAATGAAGGCCATCTGGTCCAGCCTACCCATTTTACAGAGGAGAACCTGGAGGTCAGGGCCTCTTGGCATGGTCAGGGCCCGAGCTTGGGCTTCTGTTGCTTCCATCTCTCTCCCTGACCCAGAACAAGCACACTCTGCTGGATGTGACGCCCTCTGCCGTGGAGCGCCTCAACTATGTGCAGTACTACCCCATAGTGGTGTTCTTTGCCCCTGAAAGCCGGACAGGGGTCAAATCCCTACGCCAGTGGTTGGTACCCACCTCCCGGAAGAGTTCTCGGCGCCTCTATGCCCAAGCCACCAAGCTGAGGAAGTACCACAGCCATCTCTTCACAGGTTAGACCAAGCTGGGTGACTCGATGGATAGTATTGGACTTGGAGTCAGGAAGACCTGCGTTTAAATCCTCTTCAGATGTTTAGTAGCTATGTGACAAGTCAGTCTACCTCTGCTTGCCTTGGTTTCCTCCCCCACCTCACAGAGCTGTGATAGCAAATGACTATTATTAGGTGGGGGGACGGGATATAACAGATAAACAGAAGTTGGGATGGGGGAGGGGGTGGAAGGAGGGAGGGAGAGGAAGGGTGTTAGAGAGAAAAGAGTCCTAGGCTGGAAACCGAGAGACCCTGGATCTATTTCTGGCTCCACCACTGACTTGCTGTATGACATTGTCCTCTCTGGGCTTGTTTCTCTACCTATAAAAAGAGCAGGATAGTATTTGATATGGGATCACAGGGTTATTAAAGTGAAGGACCTTGGCCCAATACCCTTATTATACAGAGAAGAAAACTGAGGCTTCGAGAGGTTAAGTGATTTGGCTGTTTTTTCTTGAGATGTGGGGAAAGAAGAGAACTCCCCTTATGTAATATGTAGCCCCAATATGGGAATGCTAATAAAGAATCCAGACCCAAGTCTTAGAGGCTCATGAAGATTAAACGAGATGTAGGTGTTAAGGCAGAGGGTTCATCATTAACTTTCATTATATGTACCATTCTTTCTTTTTATTTAGCTTTTTTTTTATTTTGAGGCAACTGGGGTTAAATGACTTGCCCAGGGTCACGCTAGCTAGTAAATGTCAAGTGTTTGGTCTAGCGCCAGATTTGAACTCAGGTCCTCCTGACTTCAGGGCCAGTACTCTATCCACTGCACCACCTAGCTGCCCCTATATCTACTATTCTTATAGTGATCTTGCCAGATGTCAGAGAACTCTCTTAATTGACTGATCCCTACAGATTTGTCATTGGAAGAGAGTTATACCTCTCTTACCTCCAATACTTCACCTCTCTTTAGCTACCATTCAACTTCAGGGGAACAGCAATGGCTGGTATCAGGAGCTCAAAGACATTATCAAAACCCAGCAATCCCAACCCATCTGGACAGCTGAAGACCAGGTAAACCCACTTACCAAGGGTCTACCCTTCTTACATGCCCTAAGAGTCTAAGAAGGGAAAGAAAACAACTTTACTGTGGTGACAGGACCAGCTCTATCACACCCTCTTCACTAGTCTGCCTCATAATATGAATTTATAAGACTGGCATATCTTCTTTGTTGAGTAATTAAGCATGATGACCCAATGGGAAAAAACTAGAGAGTCATGATCCTATAGCTAAACCCAACAACAGGAATCACCAGGGACATCTGTTTGCTGGATCGTACCGCTTATCTGCTGAATGGGTGTTCCCAAGGCTAGTCCATTTGTGTCCATCTCCTCTATTATTCCCTCCCCCAGCTGGACAACACAACCGAGGAGAACCTCGACCTGCCCCACCAGGACTTTGAGGGGAGCAGTGCTTATCTCAGCTGTGATAGTCGTGTCAACAGTGACTATGAGACAGACGGAGAGGGTAGCTTTTACACGGACAATGACATGGATGAGGAACCCGCAGAGCCTGCACTGGCTCGTTCATCAGAACCAGTAGAAGTAGATGAAGTAGAGAATCTGAGGGAAGAGGCAGTGCCAGCCTCCACATACCCAAGAGCCCAGGTAAGCCAATGCTCCTTCCACCCCAAGAAGAACGGAGGGGCTTTGCCAGAGCCCCATAGGTGTGGGGGCTACCCTTGGGCAGAATGATACCATTTACACCTAACAAGACACAAAGACAATACAATTTTCTTTTCTTGGTTTGTAAAGGTCAAGAGGTAGGGGTAATATTTCTTCACAAAGGTCAGGTTTTCTTCTCTCACTGTCCCTCTTTCCACATCTCTATCTTGTCTCTTTCTCATTCTCCTTGTACAAGCTACTTATCCTTCCTGGGTGTTTCCAAGATCCCTCCTTGCCCTAACATTCTTTTGACTCTTGTCTCTATCTCCCTTCCTCATCGATCCTCTTCTCCCTCTCTTTAGTGTGTGTGGGGGAGGGAAGGTCTGGTGTTTAACTTTTAAAGCAGAGAAGGGGGAATGTTTTCTTCTCTCTTTACCCCTCCTTCAAAATTAAGTTCTTACTCACAGGGTTCTTGGTTGAAAATGGTATGTTTCTTCCCAAAGCTGGGGGCTCTTCCTTTTCCCTGCTTTAGGCTTTGTGGAGGTCAGTTCTCTGTTTAAAGGTCATGTCTCTTCCCTGCTTGGAAACTCGCCTCCTTTATCATGCCCTAGCCCCTTTTGCATTGACAGGTTTATCTGCATTTGTTAGCAACTTGTGGTTTTTTTGGGGGGCGGATGGGTATCCAGTCTCCCACATTTCCCCAACTTAACCTCCACTGCAAATTTGCTGTCCTGCCCCGTTAACCTTGAGTGGCTCTCTACAGGCCAGGGATCCACCTGCTCAGAGCCAGTGGAGACAAGACAGCATGAGGTAAGACCATGTCTTGCAATGGGCAGATGGGAGGGGAGCAGCTGGTGTTGAGGGCCCTCTGGGGAGTATATTGCTATAGGGGCAGGGTGAAAGGTGAAAAAATGAATCCAAAAAAGAGAAGTGACTTGCCCAAAGGCACAGCACAAGTAGCATATGTACTCCAAATCCCAATGCTCTTTCCACTCCATCATACTGGTCTCCCCACTGGTAGATAGGCCTTCTCTCCAGAAGAAATGGCAATTTCCAGACAGCTTCATCCTTAGACTCCTATAGCTTAGAAATTTTGACTCAGAGAGGTTGTCTACAGTCACATAATCATCAGGATCTCTTTATTTCTTGCCCTCCCCAGAACCTATGAGCGAGAAGCCTTGAGAAAAAAATTCACCCGAGCCCGGAATTATGAATCGGATGAGGATGAAGGCTATGACTGGGGGCCTGCCACTGACCTGTGACCCTGGGAGCTGTTGGTCAGCCCAACACCAAGGTCACCTCAGGGAATGTGAAAGCTCCACCTACCTGCCCTACTCCAGCAGCTTCAAGGAGACTCACTCTGGCTTCTACCTCCTCATTTGGGAAGGCCATTTCTAGACCTGCCTATTCCTAATAAAGGAAATTGGATTTTTATTTCCTCCCACCCCTACTTTTGAAACTGCAGGCCAGGGAAGGAAGACAGGTCATCCTATTCCATCCCCTACGCCCTCATCTCTGGGCTTGGTTGTCAATGTCACAAAACATCCCCATGAGCCCCTCCAGTATAGCCCTGCCCCCAGCTGTCCCAGAACAATGTGTTCTCACTCTCTCAGGACTTAGACTGGACCACTGAGATCATTGACTGAAACTCTTAGTTTTGTGGGTGGGGAAACTTAAGGGTCATTCAACTTGTGTCAGGTTCTAGACTTAACCCAGGTCTTGAACGATGTTAGTTTAGAACAAGGGTTTTTTAAGAAACCTGGGTGCCTGTGAACTTTTTAAAAAATACTTGGATAACTGTACTTCAATAGAATTGGTTTCCTTTGTAATCCTACATCTTTTATTTTGTTCATTTAAAATTATGATTCTAAGGAGTCCATCAGCTTCAGCAGACTGTCAAAGTGTGTGGGAATAGAGGAAGGCGTCACAGAATGATCTGTATGATACAACCCCTGTATGATGGGGTTCAGACGCCCAGTATATGTATATACACTGTGTATGATCTAAGGTCCAAGTGCCTGTAAGCTTCTAAAAGCTTAACTCCCTACCCTGGGCTTGTGGTAGTGTCTGGATAGAGACTGGCTCCTCCTTGCTCCAAATCCATTTAGGCCACTTCAAGAGTTCTGTGCCTTCCATCCTGCTTGCTCCCCCAGGGCCCAACATGACATGGAACTCATAGCCTCACTCCAAACCCAATGCCTTGTCCACTACTGCAGTCGGTCTCTTTTCACTACTTAGTTTAATCCTTACCAGCTAAAATGATAGGTTTAAAAAACACCTCTGTGGGTGGCAGCTGTTTCTGTGGCCCCTTCCCCCCACACTCTTCAGAAAGCGGGCATAACTCTTTGGTGGGTAGAAGGAAGTAGGCAAACTGAGCCCAGGCCAGATAGGGAGAGGTCCCTGGTGCCCAGGATTGTAGCAGCTCCAGCCATGACGACCTGAGGCCCAAGATGGCACACAAGAGCATAAGGCACTGAACTGGGCAAAGCCCAGAAGAGAAGTCTTGGCCATGAGGATTCCCAGTAGAGGCAGGGTTTGGGGATCATTTCTTCCCCTGAGTCTGAGAGTATGGATGCCGAAGTAATCATTCTGGGGGGCCAAGCCAGGCTCCCCTCGCCCAGGTCACAGATAGATGGGCTGCTCCTGGCCGGTGAGGAGGCGGTAGGTGGAGGCTGGCATCATCTTAATGTGGACCTGGTAGGAGAGAGGAGGCTGGAGGCTCAAGGCTCAGGTGCATATAACCACACGGAAAAACTCCCCACACCCAACCCCAATAAGAAGGCCTGGGGGAGAAATGGGGAACATTGAGAAAGGTGCCTACCTCATTATGGGCCTGGGTAAGCAGCTGGATAATCCTGTCATGGGGTGTGGCCACCACACTCTGCCCATTGATCTCGATGATTCTGTGTCCAACTCGGACTCCGCCACGCTCTGCGATGCCTCCACGCATCAAGCTGCAGATCTGAGGGATGAAACATGACATGGGGCCTATGGGGCCCTACCCACAGGCCAAGATCTAGGTCCCACAGGATAGCCTATTGAACCCCTGGCCCCAGGGCACCTGCAAACACAGGACGCAGAGACAGCCATCTGCCTATCCTCACTGACTCCCACCAGTACACTTGTTTCTTCCCAGAAGACGGAGTGAGCCTCCCAACCTGCCCTGGTCCTCCCAGCACCCTTCCCAAATACCCACCACCTCATGGCACAAGCAATCCCAGCCCTTAGCCCCTGAACTCACAATGCCATCTTCCACACAGAAGCCCAGCTGCTCTCGAGCATGAGGTCGGCGGATGATAGCTGTGGTGACTGGTGGACAGTGCACAATACTCAGTGTTACTGAAGTCTGAGACTTTAGTTCCTGTTGAGGAGAGGAGCAGGGACCAGGATTAGATCCTGAGAGCTGTATGGGGGAAGAAGGGGGAAAAGAACTCGATACTAAGAGACCTGGTTTTTAATCTTGGCTTTACCATGTGATGTGGGTTAGTCACCTCCTCTCTTGGGGCTTTACCCATCTGAAAAATGAGGGAGTTGGTCTAAATAATTTCTAAGATCCTTCCCAGCCCTTAGCCCAATGGGACATGGGCTATGCACTTCACTTTGATTCAGAGTCTAGAGCAGGCCCTCAGCCCAGACCCTAAGGGACACTTACTCGGACTATGGCCTGGCATGAGGCCAGGGGCAGCCCCACTAGGCTGGTGCCATTGACTGCAGTGAGCCGGTCCCCAATGCTCAACAGCCCAGAGCGCTCGGCGGGCCCACCATGCAGCAGGTTGGCGATGACGGCTGTGGGCAGCAAGGAACCCCAGCCAGATTCTACCAGGGCCACACCCAGGCATTCTCCCCGCTGTTTCTCAATACATACCTGTCAGGGGAGAAGAAGAGAAGATGTCAGGCACAGAGCCATACACCCCTCCCTCCCCACTGGGGAGCAGAGGGGATGAGAGACCAGGAGGGACAAGAGACTGGATGAGCTCAGGAGAGAAGAGAAAGCCTTTCCTTTTGCATTTAGTTTTTTATGGCATAAGATAATCACTTCCTCCATACTTCTACAATAATGCTATAGATCACAGATTTAAGCTAGATGAGACCTTAAATGCCTAGGCCAGCCGCCTCATTTTACAGCCACATAAATCAAGGCTCAAAACAGTTAATGGGCGTGTCCCAGATCACACAGGGTCCAGCAGCAGAGTCCAGATTTGAACACATATCCTCTGCCTCCAAATCCAGGGCTCTTGCCAATACACCACGCTGCCTTAAGGGGGTGGGAAGGGAAATCAAATGGCTTTCTAGAAGCAGCTATGGTACAATGGATGGAGCACTGGATTTAGTCTCAGAAGACCCTAGTGTGAATCCCAACTCTGCCCATTACTAGCCGTCTCACCTTGGGTAAGTTGCATTAGTTTCCTCATCTGTAAAATGGGGATATTAATACTTGGGGCAGTGAGGGATGGAATGAGATCATGGACAGAACACATTTTTGTAATTTGTATAGCACTAAAGTTCCATATAAATGTCAGCTACTGTTATTTCAAAACTCATCAGATCTTTAGGCTGAAAATAACCTCAGATTCCTGAACATAAACTGTAAGAGCTGAGAGGAAGCTCAGACCGTAAATCATCCATTGCTTGAGCTGAGCAGGGCCTTTGAGATCATCCCATCCAAGCCATTCTTTCTCCCCTTACTTCACAGATAGGGCAACATGAAGCCCGGAAGGGTAGGGATATCTCACCGCTCTTTCAAGATGGCCTGAAAGCAGCATGATGTAGTGAGGGGTTTAAAGGTCAAGGGAAGATGAAGTCAGGAGCAGTAACAGGTCAGACGGGACTTAGGAGGTCCAAGGACCTCAGTGTGGAAATTGTGAGAACAAAAAAAGGGAGGGGGAAATCTTGGGAGAGTGGGCTGTGGAGGAAAAGGGCTGGGGGAGGACAGCTTAGCCGGGGAGAAGAAGGCTTCACTTTCACTCACATCCTTGCAGTTCTCCTGATTTGAGAAGTGGGCCAGGTCTCCATTGTGAAGGTCCGCCTCATTTGGCCTCCCACAGTCTTCTTGGGCACTCAACTGGCTAGGATCAATGCCACTGGCCCGAAGGAACTGACCATAGGCCACACCAAAAGCCTGTCCAATGGCCTGGGCAATCAGCTGGGCCTGTGGGGCATAGATAGCACTAAGAGCCTGCCCCCTCCTTAAGCTTCCATCCCTGGGCATTTCCCAACCACTGGGCAGCCCCACTTGTCCATGCATTCTTGGAATCATCCCTCCTCCAAGACAGACTCCCCACTGGGGACAAGGGCCTGGCCTGGGACTTTAAGAGAAGTAAATGGCCAGGTCTAGGGCCAGGTGCCCTTCAAGGCCCCTCCTTGCTGAACCCCATGCTGACCCATGGAACCCTCCTCCACCAGGCAGCTCACATCTGCTGAGTGGAAAACGTGGCAGATCATCTTGTAGAGACGCTGCTCCTGCGAGCCAGGCTGCCGCGTCAGACGCCTTCGGGCCATCAGCACCACCACATTGCCAATGTCAGCAATGTAGGAGATGGTCTGCAGGGAGTGATCCATCATAGCCTCCTGGTGGGGACGAAAGCCAGAGAGAAGGGTCTCAGAGCAGGGTGGCCGGAGAGCAGTGGGGTGTACTTACGGGGATGATCTCTGGTCTTCCCTGCAGGAAGTCCAGACAGGAGTGAGGGCCACACACCTGAAGAGAACTCCGAGCTCCTGGGGCAGGCTGGGCCAGACCAAGAAGTCCTGTATTCAAATCCTCACTAGGACACTAGGTAGTTGTGTGACCATTCCTTTATCCTCTGAGCCACAACTTCCTCATCTTTAATAACAATCACAGCTATCATTCACATACTTTAATAACAATCACTTATCACTCTATGTTCTCCTCTTTAACAATAATCAATACATTTACATATCACTATATATTACCTTTTTGGGACCTCCCAACACAACCCTGGGAGGTAGGAACTATTCTTATCTCATTGTACAAGTGAGGAAACTGAGGCAGACAGCAGTCGAATGACTTGCCCAGAGTCACACAGCCAGTAAGTGTCTGAGGCCAGATTTGAACTCAGGTCTTCCTGACTAAGCCCAGGGCTCTATCCACCTCTAGCTGCCTCAATCTAAAAAATTAGGATAACATGTGTACTACTGACCATACAAAACTGTTGCAAGGAAAGGACTCTGCAGGCTTTCAACCACTATGGAAGCACATTATGATGACCCCTTTTCCCGTTTCTTCCTTTGATAGCCAGCTCAGCTCAGCCCAGCCCATCACTTTCAATCACTCTCTATTCAAGAAACTACAATGGCTCCACATTGCCCATAGAGCCATCTGTTCAAAGAGTCAGAAGTGGAAGGGACCTCAGGGGGCCTTCCAGCCCAACTCCCTCATTTTACAGAAAAGGAAGGTGGCCCAGAGGGTTTAAGTG